TTATCATTGTTTGTCTTTTATAAATTTTTAATTGAGTTCTTTTAGTAGTTAGTTTTTAAATAGAATTATGATGATATGTATTTCTTATTTATTTATTTATTTTGATACTTTATTTTATTATGCTTGAGTTTATTTCGTTATTTTTTATTTTTTGTAATTGGTCTTTCTTTATTTTATTTTTTGAATAATTTAGACTTAAGACATGTTGAAGTTCTATTATGTGTTATTTAAAAAATCTTTTGTCGACCTCTTTGGCAATAAATAATTTTTTTTTGTAAATTATGTAGTAAATCAAATTGTAAAATAAAAATTAAAGGGTCGGCCCGCCAACTCGTTAGTAAACGGGCGGGCTTTCCTTTTGAGCTCGAACGCCTAAGTTGGTCCGTCCCGCCCCGTTTTTACCTTAAACGGGGAGGATTGTCCATTTTGCCACCCCTAGTGACAAGCATGGTAAAGCATGGTGTTGCGGTGAGAATAGGATATCAAATTATTAATTAATTTGAATCATCTTTAGTTCACTACCGATCTTTGATTTATCCGAAGGAAAATGTCAAAAGAAGGAAAACCTAATTTTTGCATCGTAAACAATGCGGGGAGAGATCTAGGTAAGGGGTTGGTTAAGCTTAGGGAAGGTATTAGCACCCTAAACTTCTGTAGTACTCTACAGGAACCTTTTGTTTAAAGTTTATTATTTTTCTTAATTATCTGCTTAAGGGTATATACTAAGCTAAGGGTTAGAAAGTGACAGAGAAACCTAAGGGTTAGTCATAAGTTTACTCGCTAAGGGTTAGAAAGTGACAGAGAAACCTCCCTTTCGAGGGGAACTACGATTACTCTGATTCCATTCCCCATCCAGGATACGTGGCACAAGATGTGAATTTGAAAGGGTTAAACTAGGCATTTCGCAGAGGGAAACCCTAAAACGGAGTGCGACGACTCTTTAACCTAATGCCAGGGTAAAGGGTATTTTAGTCCACGGCGGGACACCAGGCAATTAGGATTTTGAAAGGGTCAAAGGTTAGGACTATTGACTCGGCGGTCATACAGTTAGACCTAATCCTTCGGAGGGTTTAACGGTACATAATGTCATGCAACATAATTAAAGCGGCAGTATGAAAATATGGAAAAGTGCGTAAGCAATAAAGGACATGCACAACGATGATATACTCGCATAAGTTACAACTATGAAAAATGTAAAAATAATGACGGAATAAGAGCGACGATGTCCTCGCATAATTACAATCGAAAAAAATGAAGTACGAAAAAAAATCACGGATTAGTGAACAGAGACAAACAAGACTTAAATGACAGTCAGACGAAAATTAAACGGGAAAGTTAGAAATTCTTTATTTTTGGATTTTTATTTAAAAAGAACAGTTAATTTTAATTTTTTTTAGAAAAACAATTGTTAGTAATTACTTAAAAAAGAATTTTAATTTTCAACTAAAAAGAAAGGGTTTTTTAAATTTCTAAAGGTTAAGTTTTAAAGAAATATCCCTAATTAAAATTAAAATGAGTTTCTAATTAATTTAAAGAAATAAAAATTGTAATTATAAAAAATATTTTTATTAACAAAATGGTTTGCAATTTAAAAAGTGATTTGGAATGTTTTAATTTTTTAAAAAGAAATTAATATTAAGAAACAGGGTTTAATTCTAAAAAGGTTTCAATTTTTTTTTTAGAGTTTTTAATTTAAAAAGGCTTTAATTAAGTGAAAAAAAGGCTTTTATTTTAAATGTTTTGACAAAAAATGCTTTGATTTTTAGAAAATACTTTAATTAAAAAAAAGGAAATGTTTTAATTTAAGAAATTGTTTTAATCATAAAATGCTCTAGCTAACGTAATTACTAAATTATGTTAACCATTTTAATCCACCTATAACATTATACAGTAATAACCAATAATAATAAGAAAAAATAAAATACAATACAACAAATAAAAAATAAAAAATAGCAAATAAATTGGGAAAAGGGTCATGATTTCACGCTGAACATTTTCATTAGGGTTTGTTTTACTGAAAACCCTCTCCTCTCTCCTTGTCGACCAGCAGCGCCATTGTTGGCCCTTCGAAGCTTTTGACTTCCCACTTCTTCTTCTCGTTTCGTCACCTTCTTCTTCCTGTAACTCCTGTAACAGAAACGAAACCATGTCAAAAAACTCAAATTGATCACCTGTTCGTCTATGGGTTTTGAGCGATTTTTTGGCTGATGATGCTTGACGAGCTGAGGCGGCGGCGGTTTGTCCGGTGATGGTCGTTTGGTATCGATGGCTTGGGCGGATGATGATGATGAGACGATGAAGGTTCCGTCTCTCTGAATCCGGCTGGGTTTTCCGTCTTCTGATGTTGATGATGATGAAGTTGAATCGTCTTCTCCTTTTGATGACGGCTGGGTTCTTTTTTATTCTTTTCCCTGATCTGCATGCCCTTGTTGGGGTTTCCTTTGATGATTTACTGATGACCCTTATGCCTCATCAATCTTCAGTAAACTGCAAATTAATGACCATTCTGCCCTTCACCAATTAAACTGTGCATAGTGTGATTTTTTCTCCAAACCAACAAACTGAGCAAACTAGTTAGTGGTTAGTTACAATACAATGCAGAATGAGATGAAATGCTAAATGAACCGACTAATCTAAGGGTAAAATTTGGAGTATTACACATGGTGTTATGATATTTGTTAAAGGGAAAAGAATGAAACATATGTTATAAAACATCATTAGATGGATGATATAGTATATGATGCCATACATCTAAAGTACTATGTAAGGTATGATCAACAATAATATCAGAGGCACTAGAATTAGATTTATAACTATTGATAACATTAAAAATAAAGTGTGTGGACGTGGGTGTTTTTGTGGAAGATGTAGAGGTTATTGTGTTGAACCATTTAATCAATCATCATCTTTGTAGATACATCCTAAATTTTATAGGAACTGTGTGAGAAATGCATTTGATATTGTAAATTTTGGCATAATTTAGATATGAAAATGAGATTGAATTGGAATCCGCGTATATAAAGAGCATTGTATAAGTGCAGATAATTATCAAGGTGGATTGTGTTAGAAAAATCTGTAGTTATGGTGTTGGGTGAAGATCCTCAAGCTCACCCCATAGAATATTTAGGTTAACGAAATACTAAGAGAGAAATTTGTCACCTTGCTTGATTGAGTGGAAGTTCCGAAGGAGATTGGAGAATTGAAAATGGTTGTCTTTGGTGAATCTTTTGTGAAGGTAATCTCAGAGCTCAAAGGTAGAATCAAAGCAAATTGTGCACAATGTGAGGTGAAAGGGTTGTGTTGATCCAAAAAATAAACATGTTGTTTGTTCAATCCCATAGTTAAAAATTAGGGTTATTAGTCAGTTTTGTTAGGTTCCATTGATGAAAGATAGCTTGTTCTTTGATGTCAGAGCACGTCACATTTATTTACTCCAATTGTGGCATGTGGTCATCAAGCAGTGGCGCTACAATAATTGTACATTGTTTTTCACTAAGATGTAAGTAGTAAGGGTTTTGAGGATTCTCCGCCGAGTCATTAAGGGCGATGGTGGTGGTGGTGTTGGGTGCAAGTGTGAGTGGTTTAAATTCCACATTACCTATGAATGAGAGGAATGTTGGATTTATAAGAGAGAGGGCCCATTTACCTAATACCTTAAGGTTTTGGGTTGAGATGTGGCGTCTCCCTCTCTTGTGGTCCTAGAGCATTAGTCTCATTGGTCCTCCCAACTCTTCTGGATTCCCCAACAGTGGCATCAGAGCCGTGATTCGGCTTTGTGGAGGAGCGGGAGCTGAATCTGATGTTTGATTCTGTTATAGGATGTGCGTGACTCACACTTGTATGGGAGAATGTTGGGTGCAAGTGTGAGTGGTTTAAGTCTCACATTGCCTATAAGCGAGTGGAATGTTGAATTTATAAGAGAGAAGACTCATTTACGTAACACCTTAAGGTTTTGGGTTGAGATGTGGTGTCTCCCTCTCTTGTGACCCTGGAGCATTAGTCTCATTGGTGCTCCCGACTCTCCAAGACACTAGACATGGCAAAAAAATTCAGATCCGTCGGGGCCCGCCCTGACCCGCCCCGAAATTAGCGGGAAAAATCCAGTTTGAGTGGGTACGGGTGCGGGAAAAATCCAATTTTTAATTATGGGTGCGGGAAAAACCCGAATTTATTTTCGTGATCGAAAGTCATGACTGGAAAGGGTTGATTGGTATTCAGGAAAAGGAGAAAAGGGGTTTGATGAAGAATGCTAAACAGTTCTATACGGAAGTAAGAAAAGAATGGGAAAGAATGAAAGAGACTCAAATCTAATTACCATTTAATATTATAATACACATCATGTTCTAAAATCTACATGATATATTGTGTCTGGGTAGTTAGGAGTTGTTTTCTGTATTAATATCATTGGGGTTTGGTAGCATAAAGATTTTGGCATTGATTTGACATGTGGAATTTAAAAATTAACGAGTGAAATATATACGTAATGTGTCTATTACTGTGGACCATATGAAGGAGATATCTATTGGAAATAATTATTTGCTAGTTCAATGACATGTCAGTGTCTACTATGAATGAACTTTTTCTACATTTTGAGTACATCATAACTTCTTGTGTTGGGCGTGTGCTTGCATTTTGTTATGTTATGCTCTCTTGATGTTTATTGAGTTGGAGTAATCATAACTTCGAGAGGCCAACTATCATGAGCATATATTCTTTGAATTTTGAGTCATTACAATGCAACAAATAACCTAGGCTAACTATCATGAGCATATATTCTTTGAATTGAGTCATTAAAATGCCACAAATAACCTAAAAATATAAAATTTTGAATTCAAAGTAACATTTTAAAGGGTAAAATACAATATTTGAACTGACAACAATTGCAACTGCAGAAAACATTTGCTTTCCCTTACAAAAACTAATGCAGACAAACAAGACTAATCTTCATTCTATCCAAAGCTTAATTCCATTTATTGTTTGTTGCTTAAATCCTCTAACCATCAGTGACCATTGGCACTCACACTGTTGACTGTCGAATTGCTTTCACTAGTTTTCGTCGCATAGAATCTGCGATACTTGGTATCAACTTCGGTGAGATAGAACGTGCCTGGATATAAAAGGCTACTGTCCTTGCTTGTCACATAATCTTTGGCACCATACCTATGCTCCATTAGCTTCAGTGTTTCAATAAACTTCTCTGGAGGGAACTGCAATTAAAAAAAGCATGTATTCATTAAAATACCATACAATATTACAACAATAATCTAACAGGACTGGTCGATTTAATATCAAAATTCATGAACTCATATTTGACTAGACTAATTATGGATCAATACCTCTTGTCTTGACTTCAACTTTTCAGCAACATCCATCACTCGAGCAATGTTTGACAAGCTAAATGGATGTTTAGCTTCGCGTAATTGCAAGGAAAACATTGTGGAAGTTAATCCACTTCCATATGAGAACAATATCACCCTCTTACCTTCCTGAAAATTGTAAGATGTGAATATTTATTAGAAAGCAGATAACAATGTTGTGAGGCAACTATATTTGTCATAGATAACAATGTTGTGAGGCAACTATATTTGTCATAGATAGTGGTTAGAACATTCACCAATGAGCTATTTTTGTTGTGAATAAGGGATGCAAATGCTGCATAGAGGGACGCGGTGTACATGTTGCCAACTTGCTTTGGTATTAAAGTAGTTGGTTGCACCTTCTCATCAAATAGAGGCTTTGCAACTTGTTGGGATGCCTTCAAAATAAAAAAATATTGTACATTGTCGGTAAATATTTTCTCAAAGTCCAATTTTAACATAACATTTTAAACTTGAACTCACACATTTTCTTTTCAACCCCTAAGGCCAAAAAGGAAAAGTAACATAAGAAGATTACTTTTGCATATAGAGGATCACAAACCTTTTCAAGATCCCGGCTTTGGTAGCTCTCCTCATCAGATAAAGCTGCAAAAGGTCCCAGCTTTTCTTTGGCAACCTCATCCGTAGAAGAGCTGCATACATTATGAATTTTTAAACACCCATGCATAAACTGAATAAGTGAATAAAAATTAAAAAGTTTTCAAGAGGATGGATTAATGATGAGAACCTGGAATTCCTCAAGAAGTCACTGAAGACCAAACGAGCAAAACTTTTTTGCACAAGCTGCAGAAGATAAAGTCTTAGAATAAATATACAAACTTACATACTAAATTACAAATATACATATCATTTTTAAGTTAGATGCAAAAATATACAGAACCAAACAGGTAGCATTATTCAGTCTCATAGGAAGTTACAATATTAAACACTAAATCCTTAAAAGTTTACACTACCTTGTTATAAGGAGAGTGGAATACAAAGTAACCAGCGTCAGAAAGAGAAAATTTCTTTCCCTCATGTTTCTCATACCTGCAAAAGAAAATACAATTAGATACTTGGTCAGTTAGTTAATATTAATGCTTTAAACAAAACATCAGTCATAATACAATTACAGAATTATGTTTAAGGATATTCATACCCACGCACACATTACGCACGCGTGCATTCATATGTTGATTTGAGCTAATTCAAAATTTGCATAATATATTACTATATTATACTCTAGGCTTTAATATTGAAATAACACTAGTATATTATTATATTTATTTATTTATTTGGTAAATAATTTTCCACTACTAAGTAGAATGCTTATCAGCACAGAAGCTCAGTTTTACATTTGGCCCAAATTCATTCCTTCACCTATGCAGTCGGCTCTTTCCATTTTAAACTTTTTCAGGCACCATTAAGAGTATTTATGTGATAACGAACAAAGAAATCTCCCTTTTCACTCAAAGAAAACTTCGGCAGGCACCAGTTTACGACCTCATTTAAGAATTAGAACTCAAAAATGTGTTGTAGTTTATAATAAAATTTTCAAAAAGGGCTAGGCCGGGTGAGACTCAACTTGCATCAAGACAGTAAAATGCTGAATCAACAAAAACAAATTTTAGGCAATTTATAATTTTGTTTCCAAAAAAAAAAACTAATTTTAGGCTATTTGAGACTTACTTTTGACAGAAATTTTTATAGCAAGTATCAAGAGCCATGAGGTAACATGTTTGTGAAAGCTTTCCGTCGACAACCTGCAACACAAATTATGTGGATTTATTGCACTTGGTATCCTGAAATGCTATATGATGATGTATTCAAACTAAATTGAAGTTGCTAGGATGCTTGGATCATCGTATTGGAAAAACGATTGGAAAATATTTTTCAAATTATATGATCCCAAAGCCAGATGTTCAGACAACAATGAAATGGATTGAAAGGCTTACGGGATATTCACTAGCAAGGTCAGGTTTGTAAAAATCATAAACATGAGCCATATGACTTCCTCTCAATTTGCTTTCAAATGAAATAGGAGCATCAGGACCAATTAGCATGGCAATAGCAGCAGCTCCTCCGGTAGGTCGAGCAGGACCTTCAGCATAGACCTGAGAAAATAAACACCAATTGATTAACTCACAGAATCCAGGACATGAACTTTTTAGTTCAGAACTTATAGTGCTCTTAGAATCATATATAAGGAAACCATGTTTATTACAACTGAATATCTAGAAGCAACATTAATTAGGAAACTATCTTACTGCACTGTCGGTGCAGACAACAAGTCCATAGCGTCCATCCCATGAATTGCTCTCCACCCAATTGACACAATTGAACAAAGCAGCAGTTCCTCCATAGCATGCATTAGTTGAATCAACACCTTCAATATCTGTATTTCCATATTTCTGTTTGTTCCAGACAAATAGATAAAAAGTATTGTATTAGAAAGCTATGCAAACAAACGGTTGATCAAGAAACTTATACTACAAACAGAACCAATCCTAATCTGATTATTAACACCCCCACCATTACTTGATAACTTTACAAGGTGAATCATATCCAATATCCATGTGGTTAGACACTGAAAGGATACCTCAAAGATCTGCATCAAGAAAGACTTGATGGATTTGCTTTTGTCTATCACAGTCTCACTGCCTACTTCCAGACGACCAATTTGCTTAGGATCGATCTCATACTTCTCAAGAAGAGTAGAAACCACTGTCAAACTGCAGATGCAATAATTAATTGTCAAGAGATAAGATCAAGAAAAGGATCAGTTGCAAGATTGAATACAAAGTTTCAGACTTGAAGTCCTATCGAACACACCACACAATACAAGTAATAAAACAATAAAACTACACCAAGACTTAAAAATTCCCAGGAGACAATATATATTTCAATCTAAAAGAGACAATATTTGTTGTATTTGTACAGAATTCAAAAGTTTAAGCACCTTGACAAGGTTTAAAAAGGTTCACCACCATCAAGAACTGTATTTACAAGATCGCCTCCATAAAGATCAATCAAATCATAATGCAAAGTTTGTCAGCAATAAAATTGGCTTTAGCATTACAAACCTCTTGTGATATGATTTACGACATCTTAAATTATGTAACACTAAACACCAGCTCATGTGATTGATTACATTCAATCAACTCATTTTCTCAATTTCAATAAAACATAATATAACAATTGTAATCTCTAATTTAGTTGGCGCATTTATGGTAAAACTGCCTATATTATCAAAAGTACTACTATTCTCGCTTCCATTCATACACTTTTTTTTTTGCGAAGAACGGAGTATACAAGAATGTAACTACAAGCACTGATAATGGCATATCATCAAACACTTAGTATACTACCAAAAAAAGAAGAGAAACAAAAGTAGAAACCTCATTGAGATGACATCTTCAACATCGGAACAAAAGGACATACAATCTTGCCCAAGTCCAATAGTATATTTCCCTTTACTCGCACCGTCATGAACCTCCAATGCTTCCTAACAAATCAAAGAAGTTGAACTGTTACTTTTCAAGTAAATTAAATTAATCATATCATTAGAAATGCGTAACTAATGTAATTAAGCAAAAGTTCCATGCTAGCGATGCTGATTAAGTGATTATTGGCGGTTAAGATTGTTGAAATCATAAATCTTGAAAGCGTGGAAAGAAGAGAAAGAGAGAGAAAGAGAGAATGGAAGTGTGACCTGTTGAACGCAGTTGGGAGGGAAATAGATGTCGAGAGCGAGAATTCCAACGTTCTTTGCTGCCATTTTTGATTGAAGAAGAAAAAGATCCAAGAAATGAAAAAAAAAAATTTGTTCGAAAGAAGAGAGAGAGAGTTGAATTTCAATGAATGAATCAAAGAGAGAGATAGTAGCTCCACATGGAAATGTTTGGTATTTATAAATAAAATTTATTGAAAAAGTATTATTATTTAATAATAAAAAAAATTAGAAATAAAATATTACACTGGAAACAACCAACAACAAATTTCGAAAAATGAAAAATGCGGATTATGTGAGTTTCCGCGATAAATACAAAGAAAGCTCTTTTCTACCTTGAATAGCCTTTGGTTTTCGGTTTATTTACCAATGATTGCCATTTTGCGTGACATTACTTTTAGGGTTACCACGTACGGAGGTACCTACCCTGCATGTCCTTTTCTGTCATACTATTAATTGAGTATCGCTTCCAACCACCATGGTAGTTCTAGTAATGTTTTCCATCCAATAACGCTGTTTTACAACCGGTTCGGTTGAACCGAAATTTAGAGGGTAATTCATCAAAGTTGGTTATTGGATCGGTCATGGAATTAAATATTACAGGTTGGAATTGACGAGTCTTCCATGAATTGAATTCATTTCTTTTGGGTCACTTAACTCTTAAAATAATATTAGTTTTTTTTTTCGAAAAAATTAAAATAAAATTTTTTTTGTTAAATTTGTCGCTAATTAAAAAAAAATTAAAATAACACATTTTAATAATTAAAATATCAATCTAACACAAAAAATATATATATATATAAGAAATCAATCTAAATCTAGAATATAGTTAAGGGATCAAAAATTATATTTTGTTTTTTTTCCTCAAAGAAGACTCAAATATGATAAATATATAGTTTTCTCGTATACATATATAATTTTTTTTTCTATTTTTACTCTTTAAATGATATTTAAATATATTTGTCATATTTTATTGAAAAATAATCAAAATCACGTCTAAAAGTTGTATCTAAATTTTTTCCATTTTTAAAACTAAAAAAAAGACTACATTATTTAATAATTATTTTTTAAAAATTAATAAATTTTTTAAAAAAATATAACTTAAAAATAATAAAAAAATAAAAATTTAACCGTCAAGCCTATATTTCTGCTCATAAGAGAAAATTTTAAAAAAAAAAAATCATTTAGTCGATAAATGTCAATGGCCCAACAAACACCACTCAAAATGAATAAAGAAAAAGAGAATTATAAAAAGGAGGGGGCAAAACCAAACCCCCTAATGCACTTTTAAACGGAAACTATGAAGACCTAGCTTGTCCTTAATCATGTTGTCTTGAAGGAAAGGCGGCATGATGAATAAAAAATGGAGACAGTCGAGATTAAGATCTCTATTGGTCAAAGTATTCACACAAACGTTACCTTCTCTAACGATATGAGTGACCACAAGGTTCATATTACAAGCAAAACCAAGGCAATTAAACCAACGATTTCTTAAATTCTAAGGAATAAGAACTCTATTTTGGAAAGCTAGAACAACAAGAATAGAGTCGGATTCGATCCACATATTAGTGATATTCAAATGAAGGGTTAGTTCGATATCCCGAAGCACCCCAAATAATTCTATAAAAAAAGCGCCAATTGCAGCCCCACTGGCTCAGCGGAATCACCGACAAATTTTTTATTACTATTTTGAAATAAACTGTCACAAGCATCCATAGCATGAACAGATACATCGATGTTACACTTAGTTCAGTTAATAAGGGAAGGATGTCAAAGGACCTATTTGATGGATGAAGCATTATAAGGATGCAAAGGGATATTAAACGTTTTAAGAAGACTAAAGTCGAATATAGAAATAAAAATCATCAAGTTGATATAATTACTAGTAATAGAAATAGGAGAGGTAGTCATAGGGATGACTGCCTTACAAGCAACGCGTCTGTTCTGAAATCGAGTTTGTTTTCTAAAAAATTTAAATAAAAAGTACTTTTATAAAAAAATATTTATTTCAATTTTTATTATACTAAATACACGTAATAAAAAATATATATTATTTTAATCTTAAAAAATCCTCAAGAGTACTTTAGACACTCGTTATTATTATTATTGAAATTAAATTATTAGATCAATTGACTCATACATTTAAATTAACAAACTTCAATTCAATTACTAATTCACTTTTTTATGACTTCTTTTCTATTGATTTTTAAAACAATGTTAATGAATATTTTGAGTAAAGTCGGATTCATAAATTTTTTAGTTATATCTATATCAAATGTTAACTATAGAATAGGCACACGAAAGTGTTACATTATTTTGATAAAGTTTTATTATTTATTAAAGATCTATTCATTTTGAAAGAACTACAATTATACGAAAAAAAAAAAGACTGATTTTTTTTTTTTTTTTAAAAAGGTTAACTATAGAGACAGATTTATAAAAATTATTTCCGCTCGCAATAAATATTATTTTTTTAATTTTAAATTACTTTTTTTTTTAAATATCAATAGGATTTTGTTATTTATTTTCACTAATTTATCTTTATTTATTATATTTAATTTATATGACCATTATGTTATTTATTATTAATAAAATTATTTATTGTATTTTAATCTATATAACTATTTTACTACCTATTAGTATTATTAATAAATTTATTTCAATAACTCATTTTATTTTTAAAATTAACGTAATTAATTATTATCTTAAAAATTATAAAAAATTTAAAGAGAACAATTAATATGAGATAGTAGAATAAGTAATAAGACTCTTGTAGATAAAATATTACTTATAATATTTTAGTTAATAATATTATAAGAAATATCTTATTCAATAAATTCACATTATAGAATGTTCTTATTTTATATGTAGAATAAATTTTTTACTTATAATATTTTTGTTTTGATAATATTTTAATTTTAAAATTGTACAACATCTATTATGTAGTTTTAGATCCAAGTTTTGAAAATATTTATTATGAAAAACTATAATATAAAAAAAACTATTAATTTTTGAGATTGATGTTTTGTTTTATTTGAGAAGAGTTGTGGCTTATTTTGTGGATTTGGAGCAAATATAAATGTGGTAAAATGTAAAATAAAAAGTGTTGCCTAAAATGAGCTTTAATTGGAGAAGCACGCACGTCTAATATCTAAAAGTAGTTATTTAAAAGTAGTTAGTATCAATTTTGCTACTTAACTCATCGTATTTAAAGAGCATTTAGAATTTTAGATGTCGGCTTAATTAAAAAAATGAAGTTTCATTCATTATTTTAATATTATTATTTTTAACTTTTTACACTAATTTTTATTTTTATCATAAATTATTTTTTCACTTTATTGGATATTGGAAAATGTAATTGTTTATGAATAAAAATAAAAATTAAGAAAACTGTTACAAATCTATCCTTGAAGATAGATTAAAATAATTTTTAAAAATAAATAATAATAATAATAACAATAAATATTTAAAAGTATAGTACGAAAGCTAGTATTTATGATTTATTGATATATTAGTAAAATAATGTGTAACTTCATACAATTTTTTTTTCTAAAATAACATATAACATAAAAAAATAAAGGGTCATAATATATTTTTTTTAACAATTATCATCAATTCATTCATAATTGAATTCTTTTAAGAACATCTCTGACGCTCTATAGTATTAAATTTTTTAATAATAACGATAGTTATAAATAATTTTTATTGGAATAAGAATGACATGACAATAAATGAACTAACAATTAGTTTTCGTCAACTATATAACCAACGCACACTATCAAATTTCAATGACTCTGATTCTTATTTTTTTATTATTTTATATTATTAAAATATCAATAAAGCTCCAACAACTCTAATTAAAATATAAAAAATATAAAATATGGGGTCAAGTTTTGGTTTTTTACAAATAACCATCATTAAAATAAAAACAATTCAAATCAACTATAAATATTTTAAATCCTACAAGTCACTTTAGGCTCACAAAAGATATTTTAATTTATTCATTTAATTTATTTTCACTAAAGATACTCTAAGTTTAGTTTGAAAAGAGAATGAGAAGAAGACTTTAGAAAAAATGGAAAGACAATTTTTATAGGAAAGATAAAATGGAATGAGGTGGAGAGGGTTTTGGGAAGTTCTTTTTTTTATAATACAAAATTTTCTTAAATTGGAGGAAATATACAACAATTTTATTGGAGGAGAGTTTAAGGGAATTTTGAAAGGATTGAATAAATTCTCAATGCATAATCTAGATTGTTATAGTATTTAAATATTAAAAATACATTGATAATAAATATTTATTTATTACTTTATATAAAATAATTAAAAAATTATCTTTCTTTTAAATCATCTTTTTCTCAAACCTTTTAAAAACCTTACAAGATTCATTAAATATAATATATTGCATTGTCTTTAAAGTACTTTAAAATTTTTAAATTACTTCAAGTTAAATTTCATTTATACATTTATGTATACTATTCACACATGTATATGATATTATGTTTTTCTAAGTAGTAGTTTGTATCTCTCCACATTACTCTATTTAGAAATTAGTGTTATTCAATTATAAAGGATATGTTTCATGATAAAATCAAAATTAATGTTGATCGGTGATGAAGGGTTTTATATTTGTTGTGCTGATTTCCGATACAGTGTCGTAAAATGGTCGTGTAAGGTTAAAATTCTAACGTCTAAGTCAGTTAAGAGTCCAATATGAGTATAGTAAAAAATGGTGATCAAAAAAGTGTAATTTGAATTGCACGTGTGTTAACTTTATAGATTGGATTATTTTGATTGGGCCTACATCTGGTTAGGTGTGTCTTTACTTTGGGCCGTTGGTCGATCCATAAGAGTTTCCCTCAAGGCTTTCTAGGAAAGAACTAGTCGGAAAGTCTTCAAGTTGTGTCTGGCCATAAGCAATGATGTTCGAACTTAGAAGGAAGTGGAGACGTCCTGCTGTAACACGGTGGGAGAACTGACTTTAAACAATGTTGCGGATAGCAAGAGTCGCCACCGACTTTTATTTTATCCATAAGGAAAGGTTATAA